TTGGTCTGGTTTTTATTGGTTTTCGCCTATACAAAACCCAGAACTTTCAAACCAACACTGCCGTTTTTGGACATGTCCGTTTTCCCTTGTTTTTTCTGATTTTCATCTATAGGTTTTAATAGTTATTTGATAATAATAGCGTTCATACTGATATTTATAGGAACCCCATTAATTTTAGATAGAATCATATCAAGACTAATAGGATTCTTTTCATGTGTTTTTTGATTAATTGTAGTAAGATTCATATTCATATTCATGTTAACAGAATTCTTCTTAATCTTAATAACATTAACATTAAGATGAACAGGATTCCTATTGAAAAAATACTCCTATTAGATTGAACTCTCATTTCCTGCAAAATGCATTCCTGCAAAAAGATAGAGAAGGGTTTCTCATGACCTATTGCGAGATAGAGAGAAGCTCTTTCATGTAAGAGGTAGGAAATGGCAGAGCTGAGAGCTCCTCCTACCTAGTGACAGGAAATGAAAAACACACAGAACTTCCATCCGTTTTATGAATGAGTTCCTTTATCTCTGAATAGGAGATGAATGAGCTCCTCTATCTTCTCAAAGGAAATGCAAGAATGGAAGCGAACGAAGTCCGCTATCTTTTAATGCGTAATGAGAGAGCTGCCCTATTCCCTAGAAAGAGTGAGAGAGGGGAGCCCTCCCATGACCTATTTAGGAGACAGAAGAGATATAAAAGCTTGTTCACTGCGCATTTAGAAGCGGAAGTGAAAGAGAAAGCAAGGGCACTCCGTCACTTCTTACAAAGAGATAGAAGAGCTTTCGGATGACCTCTTAAAAGATAGAAGAAACTCTTTCAAGCAAACGATTGAGATTGACGAGCTGTGTCATGTCCCATGTAAGGGATAGAGAAAGTCCTTCAAAACTTTGTTTAGGGCAAAGGAGAGATCTCAAGCAAAAAGGTAGAAGAGCTCTGTCATTTCCTATAAGAGATAAACGGCTTCTTAGTACCAGTGCATTCTTCGATTTCTGAGTAGGAGATGAAAGAGCTCCTCTATCTTCTCATAGGAAACAAAAGAAGTCCTGTATAGGAAACGAAAAGGCCCTTTGATAAACAAAAACAAAAGGATGGAAATGAATTGATGTCATCCATCTTGTTAATCATCATGAGAGATGGGTCATGAAAGAGCTCCTCTTTTGTTTGGAAATGAACTAGTTTTTTTTGAGTGAAGGATCTCTCTTTCGAATAAATGAGATATCTCTTCTATGTCCCTCTGTCTCGTAATGGGAAATGAAAGAGTCCTCCCCCCCTCCCCGTCTCCTCTAACTTCTCATAGAAAATGGTAAAAATAGAAATGGACGATGCCCTGTATCTTTTCACGCAGCATATGAGAGAGCTCCCCTCTCTCTCTCTCTCCTAATGGGACATGCAAGTCCTCCTGTATTTTGTTTTCAATGACAGATCTCTCTCTCTCGAGGAAATGAGATGCTCTATATCTCTTTCTCGGAAACATTTCTTCAAGTAGGAGAAAGGCTCCTCTCATGTAAAAGATAGAGATTGATGAGTTGCGGCATGTCCCATTTAAGGGATAGAGAAAGTCCTGCAAAACTGTTAGTTAGAGTAAAAGAAGAGATCTCAAGTAGAAAAGGTAGAAGAGCTGTGTCATTTCCTATGAAGAGATAAACGGCTTCTCTGATGACCTCTTCATTGATAGAGAAGCTATTTCTGAAAACTCGACATAGTAGAGAACTCTCTCTCTCTCTCTCTCCCATGTCCTGCAAAAAGTTAGAGGAGGTCTCTCACGACGTATTGCGAGATAGAGAGGCTCTTTCATGTACCAGATAGGAAACGGTAGAGCTGAGGATTCCTCTACCTATTGACGACATATGAAAAAGATAGGACATCAGAGAGCTCTTTTGAACTCTTACGCATTACCAATGTACTCTTCTATCTCTGAGTAGGAGATGAAAGAGCTCCTCTAATCTTCTCATAGAAACAAAAGAAGTCCTGTATAGGAAACGAAAAGACCCTTTGATAAACCAACAAAAGAACGGACATGAATCGATGTCATCCATCTTGTTAATCATAATGAGAGATGGGACATGAAAGAACTCCTCTTTTGTTTGGAAATGGACTAGTTTTTTTTCTGAGTGGAGGATCTCTCTTTCGCTTATATCTTTTCTATGTCCCTCTGTGTCGTGTTTGGAAATGAGAGAGCCCTCCCCCCCCTCCCCTCTATCTTCCCACAGAGAATGGAAATGAACCATGTCCTCTTTCTTTTAATGCAGAATGCGAGAGCTCCTCTCTCTCTCTCTCCTATTGGGACATGCAAGTCCTCCTGTATTTTGTTTTCAATGAAAGATCTCTCTCTCTCTCTCTCTCTCTCGAGGGGAAATGAGGAGAGGCAAGGGCGGTCTCTCATTTCCTACAAAGAGAGGGGCTTTCAGATGACCTATTAAAAGATAGAAGAAGTTCTCTCACGTAGAAGATGGAAATTGATGAGTTGTGTCCTGTCCCATTTCAGGGATAGAGAAAGTCCTGCAAAACTGTTAGTTAGAGCAAAGGAGAGATCTCAAGTAGAAAAGGTAGAAGAGCTGTGTCATCTCCTATGAAGAGATAAACGGCTTCTCTGCTGGCTTCTTCATTGATATAGAAGCTATTTCTGAAAACTCGACGTAGTGACGTAGTAGAGAACTCTCTCTCTCTCTCTCTCTCTCATTTCCTATTGACGACATATGAAAAAGATAGGACATCAGAGAGCTCTTTTGATTTCTTATGCATTACCAATGTACTCTTCTATCTCTGAGTAGGAGATGAAAGAGCTCCTCTAATCTTCTCATAGAAACAAAAGAAGTCCTGTATAGGAAACGAAAAGACCCTTTGATAAACCAACAAAAGAACGGACATGAATCGATGTCATCCATCTTGTTAATCATAATGAGAGATGGGACATGAAAGAACTCCTCTTTTGTTTGGAAATGGACTAGTTTTTTTCTGAGTGGAGGATCTCTCTTTCGCTTATATCTTTTCTATGTCCCTCTGTGTCGTGTTTGGAAATGAGAGAGCCCTCCCCCCCCTCCCCTCTATCTTCTCATAGAGAATGGAAATGAACCATGTCCTCTTTCTTTTAATGCAGAATGCGAGAGCTCCTCTCTCCCTCTCTCTCTCTCTCTCTCTCTCTCTCTCTCTCTCTCTCTCTCTCTCTCTCTCTCTCTCTCTCTCTCTCTCTCTCTCTCTCTCTCCTATTGGGACATGCAAGTCCTCCTGTATTTTGTTTTCAATGAAAGATCTCTCTCTCTCTCTCTCTCTCGAGGGGAAATGAGGAGAGGCAAGGGCGGTCTCTCATTTCCTACAAAGAGAGGGGCTTTCAGATGACCTATTAAAAGATAGAAGAAGTTCTCTCACGTAGAAGATGGAAATTGATGTGTTGTGTCCTGTCCCATTTCAGGGATAGAGAAAGTCCTGCAAAACTGTTAGTTAGAGTAAAGGAGAGACCTCAAGTAGAAAGGTAGAAGAGCTGTGTCATCTCCTATGAAGAGATAAACGGCTTCTCTGATGGCTTCTTCATTGATAGAGAAGCTATTTCTGAAAACTCGACATAGTAGAGAACTCTCTCTCATTTCCTGCGAAAAGCTAGAGGAGGTCTCTCACGACGTATTGCGAGATAGAGAAGCTCTTTCATGTACCAGATAGGAAACGGTAGAGCTGTGAGCCGCCCTCAACCCTACATCCTCAACTTTATATATACCCTAAGTTCATTCTTTTCAGGGTTTAGTTTAGGATTTGTGGTTTAGGATTTACGGGTTTTAGGGTTTGGGGCTTCGATTCAGTGAACAGTTATCTCAATCAATGAGGAAGTCCGTAACCTCTAGCGTGTGTGTTGTTGCTTAGGAACAAATATAAATGAAGCATTTTGCTTTGTTTTTTAAATACGACACATGCAAACTAAGCAAAAAGAACCCTAAAGGTATCAGCCACATATATATATATTCATTTGTTTATACAGTTGTACATAAGAGGAACCCCTGAACCGCCCCCAAGGCCCCTAGACCTTCAGCCGGCCCTAACCGGCTCCAATGTAGAAGTTGACAAGCTCCTGCCTCTGAACTCACTAGGCTTCGGGGTGCACCTGGCATGGATGATAAGCATTTCTGGGCATCTTTGGCCGGTACATTGACTACGCTGCGTTGCTGTGCACGGGGTAGGTTCTTTTCCAGCATCGACCAGTTGACTAAGTCTACTTGGAATGGAGCGGCATTACACCAGATAACCCTACATCTCATACACCCAAATCCTACACCCTAAGCCCGAGACCCTAAACCCCTGAGCCCCGAATTGCTGCACCCCAAGTTCGCAAAGTGAAACGGCGCTGCCACCGGAAAATCCCTCCTACAAGGCCCAATCCCCGCAGGTGACCATTGGCTCCTCTGACGGCAACAACGTGCGCATGAGCCGCGCAGCTGCACACCCCCAGCCTTCACATCCCTCTGTACGCCTACAGGGGCCTACACGGCACTCTGAGGACACACTCTGAGGAGGTTGAGGGCTTCGATATGTCGTTCCGACGGGGGGCTTCAGAGCATGTTTTCACGCGGCGAGGGTTTGCCCTTATCACATTAGGGGGGGGGCAAGTTGGCGAGACTGGGCCACGAGAGTGGAATACGCAGGCCGAGGGGTCCCTCGATAGGTGGTTCTACACTTCTACACTTAACCGCCACGAATCATCTCTTCTTCGAACTTTGAGGACCATCCAGTAGCGTCTGCCACCCTTTATCCTCGAAGCGTCGCTTGATGGTGCTTGCAGGTGGCCTTGGTATGAAGCCTCGACACTGCCGCATCTGCAATGAAGGCGGGCAGCGGCGAGCTGACAGAGTCTGTGACCCAGAGCCTCAAGAAAATGAACCTTGAGCGCAATCAAGCAGGCTTTAGCATGCAGCTTAGAAGTGGAGGGTTTGCAAAGGAGGTAGAGCATGATAACAAAAAAAACCCAAGCAGCGGCCGATGCAGGCAACCGGAAGCTGGTTCTTCATCCGATGGCCGGCGAGGAGAAGGACCGGGCCGCTTTGCAGGAGTGAGGCGGGTTAAAGGTATTTTACTTGGTAGCCCAGCGGTGCCCTTTTTACCCTTTTTTGCAGTTCAAGGTTGTCTTCCAAAGTCGCCAACCCCAAAAAGGGCACCGTTATTGTAACATGGTTACTGGGCTACCGAGTTTCTGCTCTTGTCAGCTGCAGTCTCATGATACCCATTTCAAGTACGCGTATGGTTGTTTTGGGCCTGTTCTTGGCGCTGGAGCTGCGTTTCTGGCAGGTGCTTTGTTGCTTCTTGGCCTTTGCTAGGACAAGCTTGAGTTAGGGTTCACGGCTCTTGCTTGAAGGGCTGTAAGACCCAACCAAGCCTAGCGCCTGCCAATACCCTAAACCCCAAACCCTAAACCCTAAGCCCTAAACCCTAAACCCTAAGCCCTAAACCCTAAGCCCTAAACCCTAAACCCTAAACCTAGTCATTCCTTAGCCTTATCCCTACGAGGCCTGAAGCGTCAACGCCAAAGTGGGAGTCGACGCTGAACTTTTTTTAAAGCCCACACCGCGAGACTTCAACTCCCCGAAAGAACCCAAGCGCCTTTAGGGTTTAGGGTTTAGGGTTTAGGGCTTAGGGTTTAGGGTTTAGGGTTTAGGGTTTAGGGTTTAGGATTTAGGGTTCAGGGTTTAGGGTTTAGGGTTTAGCTCACATTGTTTCAGGCCAGCAGCCCCGAAAGCCGAACCCAGAACGTTAGCGGCTCAAGCCCCAGCTCCAGTTTGCAACAGGCTCTACCCCTAAAGCCCCTCAGGCTCCTCTCAAACTCCACATTGGTCTTGAAGCAACCCTAAACCCTAAACCCTAAACCCCTAAACCCCTAAACCCCTAAACCCCTAAACCCCTAAACCCTAACCCCTAACCCCTAAACCCCTAAACCCCTAAACCCCTAAACCCCTAAACCCCTAAACCCCTAAACCCCTAAACCCTAACCCCTAAACCCCTAAACCCTAAACCCTAAACCCAGCCTAAACCCAAACCCCAAACCCCAAACCCCAACCCCAAAACCCCAAAACCCCAAACCCCAAACCCCAAACCCCAAACCCCAAACCCCAAACCCAAACCCCAAACCCCAAACCCCAAACCCCAAACCCCAAACCCCAACCCCAAACCCAACCCTAAACCCTACCAACCCTAAACCCTAAACCCTAAACCCTAACCCTAAACCCTAAACCCTAAACCCTAAACCCTAAACCCTAAACCCTAAACCCTAACCCTAAACCCTAAACCCTAAACCGCAAAGCTGGCGGAGGACATCCCCAGGGTGCTCCTCAACGGGCGCCGCGTCACCGAGGCAGTGCCGATCCAACACCAGGCTCGTGGTTCGGGGCGTTTAGGACACTTGGTCTAGGGTTTAGGGTTTAGGGTTTAGGGTTTAGGGTTTAGGGTTTAGGGTGTAGGGTGTAGGGTGTAGGGTGTAGGGTTTAGGGTTTAGGGTTTAGGGTTAGAGTTTAGGGTTTAGGGCAAATTTAGGGTTTAGGGTTTAGGGCTTCAGCGCTGACGCGAATGGTTTTCGAAGTTTTGAAGGGGTTCGAGGCTGAATAAGAAAAAAGTGGGGGGATATGTGAGGTGTTGCAGCTTCCGAGATCTGGCTGCTGTCAAGAGGGGCGTCCTCAGACCCCAAGGTAAACCCCAGCTTAGCAGCAACACGCCGATCTCCCCAGAAGCAGCCCGAAGCAAAGCAAACCAAGCCAAGCAAACAGAGCGTGAGCAAAGCAACTAACAACGCAAGGATAGTACAGGGGCCTGCATAGTTTGAATAGGTTTTGGGGGGCTATTCTAGTAGATTCTATAGGGAGCCAAAGGAGCAAAGGCTCGCCAGCCCGCCAGGATCGGCTCATCCTCGGCCACGCCGGGGCCTTTCGCGTAGCCCTGGCCTCAGCAGATCTGGGCAGCTCTCAGGGGTTTCGGGTTTAGGGTTTAGGGTTTCGGGTTTAGGGTTTAGGGTGAGCTTAAAAAGTCCCAGAACTCGCATCCTCAAAAAGGTTAGATTCGCCCAGTTGCTGCAGTGCAACGTGCTTGTTCGGCAGCAGCCGTTGTATCCCTAAACCCTAAACCCTAAACCCTAAACCCTAAACCCTAAACCCTAAACCCTAAACCCTAAACCCACTAAAGCCTATGTAGAGCGCTTGAGCCGCGAGGCCGTGCCCCTCACGGCATCTGAGCTGCGGGCAGCGGACTCCACCGCAGTGAAGGAGGGAGGCGCGCCTTGTTTAGGGTTTAGGGCTTAGGGCTTAGGGTTAGGGTTTAGGGTTTAGGGTTTAGGGTTTAGGGTTTAGGGTTTAGGGTTTAGGGTTTAGGGTTTAGGGTTTAGGGTTTAGGGCTTAGGGCTTAGGGCTTAGGGCTTAGGGCTTAGGGCTCCAATACCCCTTAACTGAGGGAATATTCCTCAAACCATATAAGGAACCCTCATAGTGCAAGGAATATTCCTTAATTAAGGGGTATTGGAGTTTTTGGGAAGGGGAAAAGGAGGGGACGAAGGAAGGGTTGGAGTTCAGGGTTCGGGCTAAACGGGAATTCGGATGACATAGGGTTTAGTGCGGGCGGGAAATGAGTGGATGGCTCCTGCTTTTCGTGTGGCCTAGACACATCTTTGGATCACCAATCCGCATGCGTCTGCAATCTGTGGCCATGTTGGCCATTGGAGCTCCGGGACAAACTGGTTCGAATTCGAGTTTAAGATCTGGGCCTTGGTGCGTTAACGGTTAAGCTCGGGGCTTCCCTGTGGGGGCTTGAGCTTGTCAACCGTGTTTGTCCTGGGCCTCAGCATACCTCCCTTGATAGCTGGACCCACCTGGCTTATATTCGTACAAAGCCGAGAACACCCAACAAGGTTTGGGTCAGGGAGTAAACCACCAAACAGACAACGAAGGCGCCAAACCGGAGGAATGCATCAGAGGAAAGGATGCTGTCCACAAAGGCGACAGCCCAATGCTCTGGAAACAGTTGCTGGAGGGTTGCAACAGGAACTGGACCTGTCGGATTCGGTGGGATTAAAAGGTCCTCAGAAAAAGGCATGATTAAGGGCTTTGGGGGCAGCCTTTTCTGTTGTGTAGGTCATGCGGGATCAGGTGCATCCCAAGCTACTTGCAAGGTACACGCCCAAATCATTTACGCCCCAAAACCAGTCTTGTGTAAGACCTGTCAAAGAATCCCCGAGCCGAAGGTACACATGCTGACAGCCAAGCAGAACTTGACCAGGCCGTGGTTTAGGGTTTAGGGTTTAGGGCTTAGGGTTTAGGGCTTAGGGCTTAGGGCATATGTCATATGATGGGCATGGGGGGATTTAGGGTTCAGCCTTTCGCACCTTTGACGGTAGCTGTAGCTTGGAGGGTTCTCTCGTCTTGTCCTGGGTGGTGGAGAGTTTGGGCTCCCCTTGCCCCCCACCCAAACATTTTAGGGCTGTAGTTCAGGGTTTCGGATTTAGGCTTTCATGCAGGCTTAAGGATTGATGGGCTCAGGGCTTCGGGTGCTTCAAACCTAATATAGTGGATTCCCCTAAAGCAAGGACCCCAATAAGGTACCCCGAATTTCGGAACCCACAAATGGTCAAGCCTTGTACCCTAAACCCTAAACCCTAAACCCTAAACCCTAAACCCTAAACCCTAAACCCTAAACCCTAAACCCTAAACCCTAAACCCTAAACCCTAAACCCTAAACCCTAAACCCTCCATTTGTGCCAGCCAGGCCGTGGCCGAGATCGAGGACTCGTCGAGCCAAAGTGCGCTGGGAAGCATATTTTACGTTGGTAAACCTGCAGATGCGGGGGAGACCCTCCTCGACCCTAAACCCTAAACCCTAAACCCCAAACCCTAAACCCCAAACCCTTAAACCCCAAACCCGAAACCCTAAACCCCTAACCCTAAACCCTAAACCCTCGACCTTGCAGCCCTGAACCCTAAAATGGCCCAGTCCCCTGCCTGTCACAGGCACTTTGGGGCGGTGGTTTCAGCAGTGGTTTCCATGAGGGAGGCTTCTGTCGTCAGGGGCTTATTGAATGCGCGCTTCAATTTAGGGCTTAGGGTTCAGGGTGGTTTCAAATGGTCTTATGAGGTCCTTTGGTAAGATGCCCCCAAAAGAGGGCGTTGTGCAAAGCACAAGGCGCCTGGTGGCTCAGGGAAGCCCCAGGCAGCCTGCAAGAGGCTGTTGATTGGTCGGCTGTAGGTTCTCTCCGATGGGCCCTTGACACCAAACAAATTATCTTCGAAACCCTCAGCCCCAAACCCCACCCTCAACCCAATCTGGGCGCAGTGGAGTGGCCAGGTTTCCAGCATTTGCGGAAGTTCGTCGAGGTGGGGTTGAGGGCGGAGGGTGCAAGACATTTCCGGCGTGATTCGGGGCTTGATGCTTGCGAGGGTGTGAAAGACACACTGGGTGCTTTGACGTACTGTTCAACACGAAACAACAACCCCCGAAGTCCAAAGCCTAAGACCCTGAATCCCTTCCTCGGCAGCACGACCTTGGAGGGGCCCTAAACCTCAAGCCGTGAAGTTGAGGCTGTGACAGTGTAGGCTTATAAGGCTGAAAGGGCTTAAGAGTGTGCGCGGGACATCCGCCTAGGTGCGCCTCCGAATTTGAAGCCCCTGCGTTGTGCACTTTCGGAAACCATAAGCCAGAAGCTTCGAAACCCTAAGACCGGCTGTGGTGTAGGCGGTTGCCTTGTGAGGAAATCGAGGTCCGAGCTTCTGAAGCCCAAGAACCTCAACCTACATACAGCCTCCTGTGTTTTCCGAGTTCGAGACCCCGAAACATCCCGAAACCCTCAAACAACGAAGCCGCTTGCAGACTTGCAGGACCTCGAGAAGTGCGCTGGCACGGACTGCGCGCGGACCTTTGCCGGGCGCCCGCTTTGTGAATTCTGTTGGTGAGACTTGCCTCATTCCTTTCTAGCATCCCATGCCTCAACTCCAGTTCATCAGAGTCTGAGGTGGTTCCCTTTGAGGTCTCAGCACTATTCCCAAACTGCTGGTAGGCCATCCGCCAGCAACCCGTTCCTCCCCAATTTTCCGTTGCGCGGAAAACCGGCCGTGGAACCTTGCCCTCAGGGCCCAAACCTAAGATGTGCTAAAGCACGTAAGTCCTCCGCTTTTGGGGAGGCGTTGAGGGTTTCCAGTGTGGGAACTGTTGGTTCAAGGAAGAGGCTTAGGGGCCAAACGCTTTGAAACCCATCCTCCTGAAGAAGGTTCGCGAGCTCCACCGTGCGGTTCCCCTGGTTGATGAGGCGAGGGGGGAGGAAGCTGAGGCCATTGGGGGTGTTGTACTCTTTTTGGGGTGGTATTGGATTGATTCTTTTTGGGAGGCATGAGCCTTTTCTGTCCTTCCCACAACCAAATTGAGCGTTTTGGGCTCAGAAGATGCTCTTGGGTTGCATTTAAAAAAGGCAAAACATCTTGTCGGGGCACGACTAAGACGATGCTGGAAACCCCTAAACCCTAAACCCTAAACCCTAAACCCTAAACCCTAAACCCTAAACCCTAAACCCTAAACCCTAAACCCTAAACCCTAAACCCATAAGCCAGCATTCCGTAAAAAGCAACCTCTGCTGCCACGTTTCCATCTTCATGTGGGTCTATGCGAAAACACTTTAGCCTCTCCAAGTGCACCCCTGCATCCGCAAGCTTGGGCTTGGGGCATAGGCCTTCGGCCCGACTCTAGGGTTTAGGGTTTAGGGTTTCGGGTTTAGGGTTTAGGGTTTAGGGTTGAGGACGCAATGCTTCTTCGTGCAGGCCAACCAGATCACTCGCGAAGTGGGTGTTGACAGCTACTTTGAGCTCCAGGCGGGGTCTCACCCTAAACCCTAAACCCCAAACCCCAAACCCCAAACCCCAAACCCTAAACCCTAAACCCTAAACCCTAAACCCTAAACCCCAAGCCCTAAACCCGAAACCCTGAACCCTAATGTTGCGCTGTTTTCCAGGTGCTCACGGACCTCTGGGACGCCGAGACCAACCTTCCGGAGCTGGTGGTGGCGGTACTGAACAACGCGGGCCTCAGGCGAAGACGGCCTTGGTTTAGGGTTTAGGGTTTAGGGTTTGGGGTTTGGGGTTTAGGGTTTAGGGTTTTTTGCGTTGCTTCGTTGTGCTTCTTCCTTTTGCAAGGAGTCAGGGGCGCAAGGGCTCAAGGTTGGGGACTTTAGGGCTTTTGCTCGTTTGTTGCGGTTCGGGGCTTAGTGACTTAGTGCATCAGGGGGGAAGTTCCGAGCCGCTAGCTTGGAGCGGATTTGTGTACGCCTGGTGCCCCTTCTTTGGGTGAGCTAGTCAGATCCACAGCTGAAACCCTAAACCCTAAACCCTAAACCCTGTGGGTTCGTTCAATCTGGGTATTACCCACCTATTCGTTATTGCCCGTTAGAATTTATTTTCGAAATTTGTTCCGATGCACAAGAACCCGTAATCAGACCGGCTACACCAGTAGCAGGAACTCAGGCAGAAGACGACATCAATGGTTTATATTTTACGACAAGAAACACAACTACTTCGTGGTCCATTCAAAATGGTGTATTTCATCAGGCCTGAAGGGGCGCATTCGGGACTGAGAACTGTTGTCGAACATTCAGGTTCAGGCGTGATGGGGTTCATCAGTGTTTTCGGCTGGGCACGCCCATCAGCATGTCCCCCATACCTCCCCTTCCCTACACTTCTTAGCCTGCTCTTCACAAGCCTGTCCAAGTCATGTTGTATTTGAACCCAGTATTCCCGGTGGGCATGGCGGCGTCGATAGAAGTTTGCAGTTTGCGAACATCAGAATGCTGTTGGGATGTTTTTGTACGTGCCGGGTAATGTCGGGGCTTGCTGCTTGCTTGAAGGCCAGCGCAAGGCCAGCGCGACCGCAGCACTTGTGGCAAGCGAAACAGTACGCACCAAGGACACACGCAGACAATCAGAATGTGTGTTGAACCTCAAAAATCATGTGCTTTTCAAGTTGCACAGAGCCGGGCCGAACACACATAAAGTTTAAGGGCACCCTCCTGATGCCATGAGTACGTTGATACTTGGGGACATCATCCTGAGCGGAGATGCTCTGGAGGATCTCCGTCTTTGCGACCATACAATGAATGGCCCATGTGAGTCAGTGCAATTCTTGACAATGTCAGCTTGGACCACCGTGCACAGGCATGATGTATTGAAGAATGCATTCATCACGGTTTTAATGCTGTATGTCATGTCCTGCCAAGCCCCATCGGACTACTGGAGTGCATTCTGTCCTTCTGTCATGGGCATCTTACAGACTGTCCAGAGGCGTTTGGGGCGAAAGTTTATCTGCCATCGCGCCTGCGTGGCAAAATTGATTCAGACTGCTCAGTCAGTGCTGCATTATATTCGCCGGGGCACCGCGCTCATGTGCTCCTGGGCTGGAGGCTTCAGAACGCCATGCAACCATTTCTGCCTTGCTCAGTCTTGCAAAAGTCGTTTTTTGCAGCAGTGCTGTGATTGCCACATCCCAAAACATGTGGCAACTCGTGTGTGGGACCTGTTGCTAGAAGGTCTCCGGTTCTCGAAGATTGGTGACCAGAAGCGCGCCCGGAAGACGTTCAGGCGGCTGGCGAACACTTTGACTGAGTACTTGGAAACGCCGCGTGAATCACCCTGTCTTTTATGGACCGGTGCTGCTGCGAAACAAGTTTGTGACGCCATGCCAGGGACGAGCATGCACATGACAGCTGCTGGTAGATTATTTCAGCATGTCAACTTTGCATCCCTCCCCATCTTGGCAGATGTTGGTGATGAATCCCGTTGGCGAATTGTGGTACCATTGTGGGATGCGCTATCCCACAAATTCGTCAAGACAGCGCTTATTGCACCTTCCAGACAATTTGTGGCCGTGATGGCCAGTTCAGGCAGGTCATCTGCTTTTCGCCGAGTGGAGCTGGCTGCGCTGGAGGCGGCATCGGTTGCACCGCAATACTGGACAGTGGCAGAGCCACGAGAAGTTCTGACGCTGGCCAATGCAGACCGCTTGTTACAGCACTGGAGTAATTCTTGAATTTGCGAAAGAGCCGCCGGGTTTGATGCACCCTAAACCCTAAACCCTAAACCCTAAACCCTGGGACGAAAGTGCCACCTCAGAGAAGACCCTAAACCCAAACCGCAAACTCCGAAGGCTCTGAATCCCTGAAGCCCTGAAGCCCTTGTCACAGCAGCACCGTGGACACATGCCGGACAATCCCACACGAGATTAGTTCAAAACTTGCTTCTTTGGCAGCCATCACCAAAATCCTAAACCCTAAACCCTAAGCCCTAAGCCCTAAAGCCCTAAAGCCCTAAAGCCCTAAAGCCCTAAAGCCCTAAAGCCCTAAAGCCCTAAAGCCCTGAAGCCCTGAAGCCCTGAAGCCCTGAAGCCCTGAAGCCCTGAAGCCCTGAAACTCCAAGCCCAGCCCTCGAAGTTTCGAACCCCTAACAGAGCGTGAAGAGGTACACTGCAAGCTTCGAGATGTGTTCTTGGAAGCCCATGAATACCATATGCCCCTAGAGGTTGAAAGGCTACCGAAACCCCAAGCCCTAAGCCCTAAACCCTAAACCCTTGACCCTACAAGTTCCTACTCGCAGGCGGACGCCAACTCCACCCTCCATCGCACAGGCCGACAGTTGAGGGTCTGGGTCATACTGGGCAAGAAAGCCTCGGAGCCTTACGCCAACACCAGAGCTGAGAGCCCCACAAGAAGCCTGCAAACCCTGAATGGTTTTTTTTTAGGTTTAGGGTTTAGGGTTTAGGGTTTAGGGTTTAGGGTTTAGGGTTTAGGGTTTAGGGTTTAGGGTTTAGGGTTTAGGGTTTAGGGTTTAGGGTACAAAGGTTCCCCTTTGTAAAGCTGGTCCCCTGAACCACAAGTGCCCAGGGCCCCTCCGAGTCCAACGGCTTGAAGGGCCTCTGGCAACCGAAGCGGCGAGGCCTTTGGGGACCCTAAACCCTAAACCCTAAACCCTAAACCCTAAACCCTAAACCCTAAACCCTAAACCCTAAACCCTAAACCCTAACCCCTAAACCTTGAACCCGGAACCCGGAACCGGAACCCGGAACCCTGAACCCTGAACCCTGAACCCTGAACCCTGAACCCTGAACCCTAAACCCTAAACCCTAAACCCTCAACCCTAAACCCTGAACCCTGAACCCTGAACCCTGTTTAGCCACCTCTTTGTTGAGGGTGACTCTAAATGGTGGCTTGGAGATGTCTCCGCCGCCTCAAATCGTTGTTTTTTTTTCTTTTTTTTTTGGGGGGGGGGGGGGTTGGCTTGTTGGGCTTCAGGTGAAGCGCTGGTTAGGCCTTCATGTTGAATGCGTCCATTGCAACTACACGAAGGTTGGCCTTGCAAAAGGTGTTGAATCCCAGCATCAGCCCACCATAAGCAAGGTGATGTTCCCTGTGGGGTTTGAGAACGCGACCTACGGCTCAGAGGACCATCGCTCTAACCACGCTCATAGGATCTTCGCTCTAACCACCGACAAGACGCCAGGGCCCATGCATTCTGCACGAAACTGAGACGGCAAAAACAGAAAAGGGCTCCCGAGTTTAGAGGTAGGGGTTTAAGTTTAGGGTAGGGTTTGCCGCAGTACGCATGTTCAGCTCACCGCAACGTCTTTCGAGGACTCTTGGGCGTCACACTCTCGCTTCCAAACTCCAACTCTACATCCTCAAACCCGAGAAGCTTAGCCCCAATTAAGCCTTGGGGACGAAATGAACCTTAAAATTGGGGTCACTACTATAATTACAAAAAGGGTATATGAGCCATAAGCCTTTTTAGGGTTCATTTGGTCCCCAAATAAGTCCGAAGTTCCGTTGCCAGGCCGCGGCGACCTCAAGTTCGTGTGGACGTTCGGGAAGTTTCTGAGCAGGCCCCTTGCTGATGCTTTTACCCAGATCTTCCAAAACCCCTTAATTAAGGCATATACCCTAATTCATAATAAGGATCCTTAGTATAAGACTAGGGTATATTCCTTAACTAAGGGGCTTTGGAAGATCTGGGTAGTTAGCCCCACCGGCTCTTGGCCCGACATCTCCCGAAAGCCTGCTTTTTAAAAATTCACAGATGTGAGTTTAGGGGGCTTTTCAGGAGCAGGCTGAGAGTTGGGGATGGAAAGCTTGTACGGGTTATGATTTTTCCCTTAACCCTAAACCCTAAACCCTAGGGTTACCCTAAACCCTAAACCCTAAACCCTGAACCAGACTTTGGCAGCGAGCAGGTTGCAGTCGATGCGCGACCTCTACGAGGCTCCGGAAGAGCAGGGTCCAGAGGTAACGGTCTAGGCACTATAGAGCTTGGGGCTCCATGTGAAGCAGGGTTTATAATACGGTTTTTGGTGAGTGTATATAAGGTTCCTGCTTAATATTGGTGAGTGTATATGTTGGGTATCCTTTTGGGGGTACAAGAAGTATAAACCCTACTTCACGTGATCCCTTAGCCAAGATGTCTACAGCACCCGACGTAAGAAGTGGAGATCTGGCTCGACGTTGACTTCGCGGCTTTGGTTATAGGGTCCTTACGGGAAGGGGGGGGGGGGCCATGGGGGGGTATGTATCCCAAGGTTCCCTCATACTCCCCACTACTCCCTCCCCAAACTTCTCTAAGGTTCTCTAGGTACCTATCCCCCATTGAATCCCTAAACCCTACACCCTGAACCCGAAACCCTAAACCCGAAACCCCAAACCCTAAACCCGAAACCCCGGAAATACTTCCATCAATTTTGGCCCTTTGGCATGGGGCTCCATACGCTCGAGTCGTAAGGCCCGGAGCCTCCAGGGTTTAGGGTTTGGGGTTTAGGGTTTGGGGTTAAGGGTTTAGGGTTTAGGGTTTGGGGTTGAGGTTTTCGGGCTAAAGTGTGGATGTTGCGCAGGCTTTTGACGATGAATGCGCAGACCCGTGGCATGCTGACGACCCAAAACTTCTACTATCGCGAAAGCTCCAACGTTCGAAGTCTAATCCCAAAACTCTAAACCCTAAACCCTAAACCTCAAACCTCTGATTCAGGAGTCATAGCTCCTCTGCAAGATGTATAGAAGCTTAGGGTCTTACTGGAAGGAGGATCGTCCGAAAATCTGAGCGTTTGCAGATGAGTTGCTGACCCGTGGAGGCTGCCGTTCACCGCCATCGATTTTCAGGGCTCTGGCTGTCTGTGAGTTGGGCACCAGAAACCTCGCGACATTGGCCGCTAAATGTACGAACGAACGCTACAGCAAAACCTTGAACCCTAAACCCTAAACCCTAAACCCTCAACCCTCAACCCTCAACCCTCAACCCTCAACCCTCAACCCTCAACCCTCAACCCTCAACCCTCAACCCTCAACCCTCAACCCTAAACCCTAAACCCTAAACCCTAAGCAACCATCCCGCAGAGGAGTCGGGAGGCCGGGCCATACTCCGGCAGATCGAGAACGAGCCGCGCTTTGGCGGAGACATTTATTGGACTTCTGGGTGAGCTGAAGGAGTTCTCTGTCATAGTTGGGTAACATTTTACATTTTTAAGGGTACTTAAACCCAATAAGGAATGAAAACTAAATTTTGAATATTATACCAACCATGAACTGGAGTTGGGTAGTTGTCTAAATCAGGGCCGGTCCCTTTTGAGGGTCCGCTTAAGAAGGGTGCCGTATTTGTAGGGGACCCCAAAAGGGACCCTCATTTGGAGAACTACCGCCTCAGTTTCAGCCTAATGGTCCCTGTTGAGTTTCGCGCCAATGTATCTAGAGCTTGGGGTGTTGAATCAATATTAGAGGTTCGAGCTTCACTGGCTCAGGTAACGGCTTTTGCAATTCCAACATCCAAAGTAGTAGGTATGCCGAACTGCTTCGAAACCAAGTTCCTGAAGCCAAAACCCGGTGCCATCATATGACACAGGGTTTATACTACTGTTTTTGGTGAGTGTATATAAGGTTCCTTTCTAATATTGGTGAGTGTATATACCTGGTGTCCTTTTGGGGGTACAAGAAATATATACCCTACTTCATACAGCGTGGAGGCATTGAAGAGGCCGGTTGCATTGTCGGTGGCAGTCAAGACGGCTATGTCGTTGTTGCTGCAGACCCGTTTATGACGAAGAAAGCCCTAACCCTAAACCCTAAACCCTAAACCCTAAACCCTAAACCCTAAACCCTAAACCCTAAACCCTAAACCCTAAACCGTAAACCCTAAACCCTAACCCTAAAAGGGCTCTTGGGAGTCCGGGCTTCAGGGGTTCTCAGGGCTCAGCCTCAAAATCCATGCGCGCCGAAGCTTACCCCGCTAGACCGCCCAAAGCCCTTTAAGAGCCCCATTCCGGCCTTTCTCGCGTTTAGGGAGAGGGGGCTTATTTGAGTTTAGGGGTTCAGGGAACCTTGCCCAAGCAGAATACATAGCAAGTGCCCTGCCGCCCCTGTCAGGGGGGTACTGAACCCTGACTCCAAGGGAGTTTACGATAATAAGGGGCCTAAAAATCAATAGTAGGATCCCCGTACAATAAGAACCCCCATAAGGTACCCCCAACATCATAAACCCACATATTGCCTTTACAGCATGACTTGGCGATGGCCCAGTCATGGACCCCAACTGCCCCTCTAACCTTCCAGAGTTTCCCTGTCACACCTTGAGACTCCTAGCTCTCATACTGTGAAAGCCTGCAAGCCTTAAACCCTAAACGATGACATTCTTGCAGGTTCTCCAACCCCTGGCGCGAGTTTGAAGAGCAGGAGGTGGGGAGGGTTTCCTTGTATGATTAGGGTTTAGGGTTTGGGGTTTAGGGCTGCCTCGGTAGCGCTGAGGGTGTTGAGAACGTGGGGTTGAAGACATGGAAAACCAGGTACAGCGAAACCCGAAGCACCCGCACAGCTGCGAACCGGTTTGTGGAAGGGGGATGGGGGTCTGAGATGGCACTACAGCTCTCGTTTTATTTTTCAAGGTGTGCTACAGGGCTTTGTGGAGACACAACCTTGAAACCTAGTGAACTTTCGTGACCATGCCGTTGATCTGAAACAAATTTTCATAGGCAGAATCAGGTTCGCACATGGCCTCCCTTAGACGATCGGATCTCGGGAAGGCAGCAGTTCCCCTGTCTCAGGGATGCTGTGGCTCTCAGATTTGGCTGGGCATGGGCATTCAGGATTCCGTGCCTGAGGGTTTCGGGTCTGCAGCATGTGTGGGTAGAGGGGCTTGGGGTTCAGGGGGCTGCGGAATTGAAAACTTTTGGGGTGCTTCTTTGGCTCCAGGTTAGCAAAGCCTGAGCCCTGAATGTGGAAGCACCGAAGCAGCTGGACCCCGTAGCAACAGAAACTCCTCTGAGAAGTGCACCCCAACAAGACGCCTGCCTCTACACCCTCGCACTCTTCCTCTAGACCTTGCACCTCAAACCACAAAAAAGGAACCAGAAATCAGCAACGAAAGCCATAAGCCAGAAGTCCCAAACTCCAAGCCTCCTCAGTCCTAGAAGAGGTGCGGATGCTCATGCTAGCGCTGAAGCCGACGAACCTCGGGGAGGTCACGCGCCGGGGCTGTTTTGCGCGGACAGTTGCTTCGAAGTCACAGCAGAATCCTGAACCCTGAGCCTTCCGAGGGTTGCGCCATGGGTTGCCCGAAATAAGCCCTACACTTCTGCAGAGGCATGGGTTCCTTTCATGGAAGGGTGCTAAGTGTTCATTTGCAGGGCGTTCGTGGTTTATGTGAGGTGGGGCACACGGCTTGGGTTTTGTACCTCTCTCGATGAATTTGGGGGGTGTTGGTTTCGACTTCTCAGCCGGTCATCGCAGAGTCGGGTTTTCAGAAACTGACGATCCTTGCCATGAGCAACCCCAAAAAGGGTACCCGTATTGTAAGGTGGTTACTCGGCTACCAAGTATCAAAGCACACCCATACTTGGGGCGCGGGGAATCGTTTAGGGCTTTCGCGTCGGGGTGCCCTGACCCTCCCACACCTAGGCCAGGCCTGACCCTTGCTGGAAGAGAGGGTGCACTATGCTCACTGGGTCAATGTTGTACAACGTCGAAACCTGGATCTGGGCAATCCCCGCGGGTTTTTCAGCACATGGCTGTCCTGTGGTCCCCACCCTCTGGTGCTCAGATCCCTTGGCCCTCCGGTGCCTTTGGTCATAGATGGCTAAGGCGGCCCTTTTGACCTACTCAATGCCCTCACATCTTGTAACTTATAACATGCGCAACCCATTTACAGCCAAGTACAGAATGATTGCTGTAATGCGGAAAGGGCCCGTGAACAGCCCAAGGCCGGTCGAGCCAAACCTAGGAAAAAGAACGGGGCGGGTGAGACACCCGACCTAAGAAGAAGAAACACCACCTCCGCCTAACTTAACACCTGCCGGCGATGTTCTGACATGCGAATCATAGTTATGAGCACTGCCAGTGGGCCCCTTGAGAAGCCTTGCTTGGAGCAAGAAATCTCCGATCCTACGAGCCTCAAGGCTCCCCTTTATAACTTGCGGGGGGGTCGAAATCAGGGGTACCTCATTGGGGCCCTTAGTATAGGGGAATCCTACTATTATGGGTTCGAAATTAGGGGGTCCCTCCCCTCTTTCGTTTAAAACCCCCACCTAAGGCCCCCCAAGCACTCCACGCAGGCCCGCAGTACCATCCCGGCCTCTCCGGCGACCGAGGTGCAGCTGCTCGAGGTCTGTTAAACAAATTTTCTTGGTAGCCCAGGTGGTGTCCTTTTGCTCTTTGTGTTGGTTCAAGGTCCCCCTTATACAGCAAAACCGTATCTGAATTATTCAGGCCCGTCCAGTAGCTCTCAGAACCCTAAACCCTAAACCCGAAACCCTAAACCCTAAAACCTAAACCCTAAACCCTAAACCCTCAACCCTAAACCCTAAACCCACAGGCGCGGCTGATGCTCCACGGCCTCAAGTCCGGGAACTTCGGCATCGCCTCGCACAGCGCCGCCTCCCTGGCGCTGCCCGGGTCCTCGGGAGGTTGAGAGGGAGGGAGTGTGCGGGATATTTCGGGGGCTGGTGGCCCTAAACCCTAAACCCTAAACCCTAAACCCTAAACCCTAAACCCTAAACCCCCGTTGGGGGTCCAGGAGGCGGAGCGCTGCCGGGCTCCAGGCGATCGAACTTAGGATCTCAAGAGTGCTAGAATGGCACTTTGGCATGAGCGTCTTGTGTAGTTAGCACGTTGTCCTCGTATGATACACATGCAAACTCGCGCTTTTCGCTATGCTCAGCACGCCTCCCGAACCCTAAAACGCTCAACCCATCCGACGTTTCGAGCACGTCGTAGTCTGGAACCCTGAAGAACAGGACTTCATCGAACGGTATGAAGTTAAGGCTTGTGCCCCTGTCGAGAAGGAAGGTGAGGCTCTTCGCTCCAGGGGTTTCGATTTTGGCTTGCGACTTCTGCAACGGCATGGCAGCATGGTGCGAGGAAACCGGTTTCCTCAATCCCTACAAGCCCCGGCCCTACAGAAAGAAATTAGGCCTGGCAGGAAACACACTCCTGTGGAGCACCGAAGCCCATCTGTACCGTCGAGTTTGGACAGCTACCCAAAACTTCAGCGCATCTCCAAACCTTATAGGGCTTACAGCCCTAAACCCTAAACCCTAAACCCTAAACCCTAAACCCTAAACCCCAAACCCTAAACCCTAAACCCTAAACCCTAAACCCTAAACCCTAAACCCTGAATTGAGGGTTGGCTCGGGGGGCAACGCCCCCTCGCCAATGAAGCGTGCTCGGGAAGGCAGGGGGCTTCTGCATGGTGTTCCAATGCGCCGAAGACTGGGTTTAGGGTTTAGGATTTAGGGTTTAGGGTTGAGGGTTTAGGGTTTCGGTTTAGGGTTTAGGGTTTAGGGGGGTTGGGCCGAGGGTTTGGGAGTTCTCTTCCTTGTTTAGTTCGGTCGAGGTGACCGAGGTGTAGAGGATGTGTTCGTGAGGGACTTGGGGGGATGCGATGTTCCTTCAGTGGTCGCCTTTTCTGCGCTTGGGCCTGCGTCATCCCTTCATACATATCCTGTACCATCAAGCATCTGCTTCGTGGGCGGCGTCTGAAGAAGCTTTGCAGCCCGGAATGTCGAGTTGCTTGGCGAGCGTGGAAGTGCCAGGGAGAAAAAAAGCCACAACTTCAGAAAGCCTTCTACGGACACGGGCATGCGAACCTCTAGCTACTCTTTACGTTAGTTCAACCAAATAAAGCATTCTAAAGAGCCGTGAAGGATCCCCGAACCCTGCTCTGAATCCGTTTTCAAACGCTGAGGCAACAAAGCCGATAAGCTAGCTTCTCGAGGGGTTTAGGATTCAGGGCCATCGGCTTGTCGCGGTTTGAGGCAGGAAAATGCACACGCGCGCGCGCGCACACACACACACACACACCCACAAAAACGCCCTTACCGAGAAAGAATGCTCCACGCGCTTCACAGCTCGTGACACCTAAGCCCCAAACTTAACACTCCAAGCCCTAAAGCCTACGCCTAACCCGAAACCCAATCCCCAAGCCTCTTAACCCCACATCTCTCTGTAACCTGGGCAGTCGAAGCTCTGGACGCCAAGTCCGACGAGCTTCTGGCTAAGAGTTCGGGGCCCTAGACAACTTGGGTTCGGGGTTTAGGGTTTTGGATTTACGTTTAGGGTTTAGGGCAAAGTTACGTTTAGGGTTTAGAGTTTGAAGGGTTTGGAGCGCTAGATGGTTCAGGCTATCTGCAAGGTTCATGAGGCGCGTCGAAGGTTTGAAGACGGTCCGATGGTGCTCACATGTTGCGTGCGCCCGTGCGGAACCGTCCCCAACCTCAGAATGCGGTGACGAACCCTAGACCCTGGCCCTAAACCCTAAGCCCTGGTGCTGAGCCTTCATGTGCCGTGAGAAGTTGGGTGGTTCTAGCTCTTGGGGGGAACGAAAATTCGGGTCTCAAGGGTTTCGCGTTTACGGTTTAGGCTTTTGGGTTTAGGGTGTAGGGTTTAGGGTGCTGCATATCGTTGCTTCGTGCATGTTGGGGGCTTGCCATTTAGGGACAGCGAGTGCCATTTAGAACTGACAAATTGAAGCAACTGCCCCAGCCGAAAGCCGGCTTGAGATCCGAGGCAAGCGCAACGAGTGACCAGATCGATACAATAGGGTTTAGGGTTTAGGGTTTAGGGTTTAGGGTTTAGGGTTTAGGGTTTAGGGTTTAGGGTTTAGGGTTTAGGGTTTAGGGTTTAGGGTTTAGGGTTTAGGGTTTAGGGTTTAGGGTTTAGGGTTTAGGGTTTAGGTTTAGGGTAGGGCCAAGGCATGTGTTTTCAAAGGGCTGGCGATACCTAAGCCTGCTTTAGGCTCCGCCTTGTGGCCATCAGAAGCAGAACTCGATAAGACGCGATCAGGCTGAAGAGCTCCCTATGAACACTTCTGCAACTTGAGACCAGGCCGTCTGCCGGCATACTAACTGCCAAGCCGAGCCTCCAACACCCCCCAACGGCCCTAAACTCCTGAAAGTTTCAACTTTTATTTCCTTGGGTTTTGGGCCAGTAAGCTGACATCTCCTGACCCATCCGAGGCCAGTTCCTGTTGGACGATGCCAGTGCACTCCTGTAGCCAGGCTGAAATACCCCACCCCTCCCCGCACGAAAGCACGGAACTCTGTTGCCGAATGGCTGGGGGGGCCACACGGCCACACTCCTGAACCTCAGCACCTCACCTTGCCTGACCTCTGCGTGTTTGCACACCCCTAAACCCTAAACCCTAAACCCTACACCCTACACCCTACACCCGAATACCTAAACCCTAAACCCTATACCCTAAACCCTAAACCCTAAACCCTAAACCCTAAACCCTAAACCCTAAACCCTACATTCACAGAACAGTTTCATAGTGTCGAAAGCCTCCGTGGCCCGGCCCCTGGTAACCTCCTAAGGTTAATCTAAACCCTAAACCCTAAACCCTAAACCCTAAACCCTAAACCCTAAACCCTAAACCCTAAACCCTAAACTGCCGAGAGCGCCGATGTCCATTTACATGGGCGCTCGAGGCTTCGACCGAAGTCCCCGACCGAGCGTCTCTACAGAACGGTGAGGGAGGGTAAAGCCTCCCGGTAGACGAGGCCTGCAGTGCCTGGCTACGCCTCAGACCTAGGGCGTAAGCCCCAATACAATGAGGACCCCAAACCTTCCAGTGTTGAACCCTGGAACCCCCTAAGACTTTCCTGGGACCCCCCTGGGACCCCCCCTGAGACCTTCCTGGGACCCCCTGGCATCCCTCCAAAAACTGCCCGCCCCCTTGCAACCCTCCCTGACTAGCTGAGACCCCCCTCTGTCCTGCAACCTTTTTGACTTTGCAAGCAGGGGCCGGCCGAGGCCCGTGCTTCCCCCTAGCGTTTTGGGCTGCGTGGGCCGGGGTTTGCCAAGACCCGTACTGAAAATGTGGGTTTTTTAGTATTGCAATTGACGGTTTGGGCACCCCTCCAGTTCTGTGAAAGCTCCAAGAAGCCTACGAGCCGCTGACAGGTTCCACAAAGCTCGGGAGGCCCCACCCTGCTCTTTCTCTGTAAAAAGCAAGAAAGCCCCCCTTGAGGGGGGTTTGGGGGGTGAACCCTAAACCCTAAATGAGAATAGTTTGGGTGGTTGGGGTGGGACTGCATGCTAACGCAAGCGAGCGGCCCGGGTGCTGTTAGCGCCAGCGAGCTTCCCTTCTATACACCCTAAACCCTAAACCCTAAACCCCAAACCCCAAACCCTAAACCCTAAACCCTAAACCCTAAACCCTAAACCCTAAACCCTAAACCCTAAACCCTAAACCCTAAACCCTAAACCCTAAACCCTAAACCCTAAACCCAAAACCCTAAACCCTAAACCCTAACCCCTAAACCTAAACCCTAAACCCTAAACCCTAAACCCTAAACCCTAAACCCTAAACCCTAAACCCTAAACCCTAAACCCTAAACCCTAAACCCTAAACTCTCTCTCTCTCTCTCTCTCTCTCGCTCTCTCGCTCGCTCTCTCTCTCTCTCTCTCTCTCTCTCTCTCTCTCGCTCTCGCGGCCGTAAAACGCCCTAATGCCCAAAGGCCTCGACTCTGAAGACTGAATCTCTAAGTAGCTATCTCAAGCAGTTTCATGAGTATCCATGCTTGAGGCAAGATCCGCCGCGATTCGTGGGCCACGCCAAGAGCAACCGGTCCACCATTCTTGAAGGCATCGGCGTCGCCTGCTTGGCTTGAGTGGGTTAGAGTTTAGGGCTTAGGGTTTAGGGTTGAGGGTTTAGGGTTTAGAGTTTAGGGTTTAGGGTTTAGGGTGTAGGGTGTAGGGTTTAGGGTTTAGGGTTTAGGCCCAGCTGGGTGCGGCGGGCCCAGGATGCTTAGAAGCGGTTCGAAGCCTCGGCTGGGTGTTTCGGGTTTAGGGTTTAGGGTTTAGGGTTTAGGGTTTAGGCTCATCGAAATGGAGCACGCGCTGACACAGCGCACCCCAGTCTGCGTGCCCGACTCCCACGATTCTCCGCGACTATCCGCATACATAATGTCCCAGCAATGTCCCACTCGAGTTTTGTGTTGTATCCCCAAACCCAAACCCTAAGGCATTTTTAAGTGAATAATATGTATGATAAATTGAGTATGTATTATTTTAGTTCAATTCATTAGAAGCGGGCGGGTTTCGGGCCCTGTCCGCGCAAACATCTAGAGGAGTTCAGTTTTGTGACCGGTGACTTCTGCTCCTGCGATTGTCAGATGAGGGCTTGTCAACCCTTCGACTTAGACCCCTTGTAGAGAATGCCCTTCGAACTTCGACCATTACTGTCGGGTTTTTGCACTTGGCGATGCAGACACCACTGCTTAGAAAGATACATGCGGTCGAGGCCGACATCCTGCATTTGGCTCAAGCATATTATGAGACTGGTCGAGAGAGAGGGAGAGAGAACAAAACAAAATGTGAGTGCAGGGGCTCTGGTCGTAGGAATGCAGGCGCGCTAGATGTCGTTTAGGATATCCGGCCCTTGTGATACGGGGAACACGGGGGAGGCGGAGTAAATGAGCCTATGAAGGCATAAAAGAGTGTTGAGTGTCCAGGTAGGAAACAGCAGAGCAAAGGCACAGTAATCCTTGAGAGTTTTGTTTGGCTGCAGGACTTGACCCAGAGGACGCCGGCATCTCCTTGGGGATCTAAACAGGGTCTGGAAGAGGGGAAGAGGACAGCAGCGTCCTACGCTACTGTAGGGGTCGGAATAGTTACTAATATCATTCCCTTAGGATCCCTTTATAACTTTACTATAATAACCCCCAAAACCCTATTCTGATCATTCAGGCCCCTCAATCAGCTCTGTGTTGATGTGCCGTTCTGGTACTGTGCAGTTTGGAAATTTCATGGACGTGGTTCAGTTTTCCTGCACAAAGTGCAACAGCCCTAAACCCGAAACTTGAAACCCGAAACCTTAAACCGCGTTGAGCCTAATCTTTGTTGCGGTCAACTTCCTCTGATCTCAATGGTCAGGCCTAAGCCATTGACCTCAAGATACTGGATGTTAACCGTTTGTGACTGTGACATGTTTCGTAGTCCAAAACCTGCCTTCGCAAGAGTCATGTTTAGGGTTTAGGGTATGGGGTTTAGGGTTTAGGGATTCGCAGGCTCTTTCTGTTCTTGTCATGCGACGAAAGCTCCTACACAGCAACCCCAAAGCCGTAGCAGGAGCAGCACCGTTTGGAGGAACTTGAGCATCAGGCGTGGCAAGGGATCCTTTCAAGGGGTTTAGGATTTAGGGTTTAGGGTTTAGGGGTTTAGGGTTTAGGGGTTTAGGGGTTTAGGGGTTTAGGGGTTTAGGGGTTTAGGGGTTTAGGGGTTTAGGGGTTTAGGGGTTTAGGGGTTTAGGGGTTTAGGGGTTTAGGGGTTTAGGGGTTTAGGGGTTCAAGGTTTAAGGTTTAAGGTTTAAGGTTTAGGGTTTAGAAATTGAGCTGCAAAACCCCACCTGAATCCATAAACCCAACAGTTGAACAGTTAGGGGTTGCAGAGGTTGGAGTTCAGAGGCTCAGGAAGCTGGGATTCAGGGATGGGCCCCTAAACCCTAAGCCCTAACCCCGAAACCCTAAGCCCTAAACCCCAAACCCTACATCTTCTGAAGCCGCGCGTCAAAGAAGACAGATCCGAAGACCGAAGAGCCATGACAGACTCCTGACTGAGAAGACTTCCAAGCCCCAGACCTAAACACCATAAAGCGAACCGCAAGTGTAGCAAAAAGGGTCTAGGGTTTAGGGCTTGGTGTTCAGGGTAGGGGGTTAAGGGTTTACAGTTTAGGGTTTAGGGTTTAGGGTTTAGGGTTTAGGGTTTAGGGTTTAGGGTTTAGCGTTTAGGGTTTAGGGTTTAGGGTTTAGGGGTCTGTACAGTAAGTCTCCCCTTCAACCCAGAAGCAACAAACCCACCGAATGACCTCTAAGAGCTCCTGCTGAACCCTAAGCCTTGGCCACCGCTTGCCGTCCAGCCTTGAGTCAAAACAATCAACCCTAAACCCGAAAACCTAAAACCTAAACCCTAAACCCTAAACCCTAAACCCTAAACCCTAAACCCTAAACCCTAAACCCTAAACCCTATCAAAGCAGGTCGAGGAGGGCATGAAGAAGTTTCAGCTGCGCTGACCTCAGAGGTTTTTGAGGGCTTGGGCCCAAGTAGAGCATCGGGTGTTAAGAGCAGCGATTGACATGTGTCCCTACGCCTTTGGTCTCAAAAACACGAATCTTGGGGATACTAGGACCCAGAGTAGGCCCTTATTCTGCCTTTTGAGGGTTCCGGCTTCCTTGTATGAGCCCCTTTGAACCAAAACGGGCACCCTTTTCATTTCTACGCTACTCATGGGTCTAGGATAGGAGTGGAAAGCAGCGAGGGCTGCCTTTCAAATGTTTGCGAGTTTGGGGAAGTCTGCAGCCTGGGGGCGTTTGTGCCCAGGGCTTTGCAAGAGCTCCTGCTTCAGGGGAGTTCAAGCGTGTGGCCATCGTGCAAAGCACACAGCATGGAAGCCTCTGAACCCTCCATGACCCTCCCATAGCCTTATGGAGCCTTGATTCTCTGAGGTACATGGGGCGACGGCACAATCCTTCTGGCGCGCGGGCGTTCCCAGCCGGTGGAAGTGGTTTAGGGTTTAAGAAGGTAAGTGTTTAGGGTTTAGGGTTTAGTTCAGGGTTCAGGGTTCAGGGTTCAGGGTTCAGGGTTTAGGGTTCAGGGTTTAGGGTTAAGGGTTTAGGGTTTAAGGTTTAGGGTTTAGGGTTTAGGGTGTAGGCCCAGCTGGGTTCGACGGGCACGCTGCTCAAGACGTGACACCCCGCGCAGCTCCGCCCCGCATAACACCCACAACAACCTGCAGACCCTCCAGCCTCTAAATGCTACGAGAGTGGCCTATAACCCCAAACCCTGAACCCTAAACCCCAAACCCTAAGCCCTAAACCCTAAACCCTAAATTCTACAAAACACGGCCCCTAGCATACCCGGAGACCAAGAAGGTCAAGTTGGCTCGGTGGTGCAACCACGGGCTCCGCCTCCCCGACGCCGAAAGCGGCGTGCTGCGGCCCCGGCGGGCTTGGAGGGTTTGGGGGGTTTTGGAGGGGGGTTTTGGGGGATTTTGGGGGGTTTTGGGGGGTTTCGGGGGGTTTTGGGGGGTTTTGGGGGGGTTGGGGGGGTTTGAAGGGTTTGGCGGGTTTGGAAGGTTTGGAGGGTTTGGAGGGTGGCTTTTGGGGTTTAGACTTTAGGCTTTCGGTCTAGGGGTACCAGCAGAGCGAAGTTTGCTTCTTTCTTCGCTGCTTGCAGCTTGAAACTTGGAGGTTTTTCTGACTTGCAGAGCGTACTGCAAACTTGACGCACTGACCAGATGGCCCTCTGACTGAAAAACTTTGGAGACCTGATCTGACTGCTGGCATGTTATTTATGCGTTGTTGATGGGAACGTGATTCGCGGGGCAGAGTGATGGCTTTGATGCATCACAGACCTGACGGCCCTGTGACTGAAAAGCTTTGGAGACCTGATCTGACTGCTGGCATGTTTTTTTGCGTTGTTGCTGGTTGTGTTCTTCTCCGTGTTGCTTGATATGGAAACCCAGTGGAACGTGATTCGCGGGGCAGAGTGATGGCTTTGATGCATCACAGACCTGACGGCCCTGTGACTGAAAAAACTTTGGAGACCTGATCTGACTGCTGGCATGGTTTTTTGCGCTGTTGCTGGTTGTGTTCTTCTCCGTGTTGCTTGAAATGGAAGACAGGGGATCGTGATTCGCGGGGCAGAGTGATGGCTTTGATGCATCACAGACCTGACGGCCCTGTGACTGAAAATCTTTGGAGACCTGATCTGACTGCTGGCATGGTTTTTTGCGTTGTTGCTGGTTGTGTTCTTCCCCGTGTTGCTTGAAATGGAAGACAGGGGATCGTGATTCGCGGGGCAGAGTGATGGCTTTGATGCATCACAGACCTGACGGCCCTGTGACTGAAAAATCTTTGGAGACCTGATCTGACTGCTGGCATGGTTTGTTGCGTTGTTGCTGGTTGTGTTCTTCTCCGTGTTGCTTGAAATGGAAGACAGGGGATCGTGATTCGCGGGGCAGAGGGATGGCTTTGATGCATCACAGACCTGACGGCCCTGTGACTGAAAAAACTTTGGAGACCTGATCTGACTGCTGGCATGGTTTTTTGCGTTGTTGCTGGTTGTGTTCTTCTCCGTGTTGCTTGAAATGGAAGACAGGGGATCGTGATTCGCGGGGCAGAGTGATGGCTTTGATGCATCACAGACCTGACGGCCCTGTGACTGAAAAGCTTTGGAGACCTGATCTGACTGCTGGCATGTTTTTTTGCGTTGTTGCTGGTTGTGTTCTTCTCCGTGTTGCTTGATATGGAAACCCAGTGGAACGTGATTCGCAGGGCAGAGTGATGGCTTTGATGCATCACAGACCTGACGGCCCTGTGACTGAAAAAACTTTGGAGACCTGATCTGACTGCTGGCATGGTTTTTTGCGTTGTTGCTGGTTGTGTTCTTCTCCGTGTTGCTTGAAATGGAAGACAGGGGATCGTGATTCGCGGGGCAGAGTGATGGCTTTGATGTATCACAGACTTGACGGCCCTGTGACTGAAAAATCTTTGGAGACCTGATCTGACTGCTGGCATGGTTTTTTGCGCTGTTGCTGGTTGTGTTCTTCTCCGTGTTGCTTGAAATGGAAGACAGGGCATCGTGATTCGCGGGGCAGAGTGATGGCTTTGATGCATCACAGACCTGACGGCCCTGTGATTGAAAAAACTTTGGAGACCTGATCTGACTGCTGGCATGGTTTTTTGCGTTGTTGCTGGTTGTGTTCTTCTCCGTGTTGCTTGAAATGGAAGACAGGGGATCGTGATTCGCGGGGCAGAGTGATGGCTTTGATGCATCACAGACCTGACGGCCCTGTGACTGAAAAGCTTTGGAGACCTGATCTGACTGCTGGCATGTTTTTTTGCGTTGTTGCTAGTTGTGTTCTTCTCCGTGTTGCTTGATATGGAAACCCAGTGGCCCTGTGACTGAAAAGCTTTGGAGACCTGATCTGACTGCTGGCATGCTGGCATGGCTTTTTGCGTTGTTGCTGGTTGTGTTCTTCTCCGTGTTGCTTGAAATGGATAATCAGTAGAACGTGATACGCAGGACAGAGTGATGGCTTTGATGCTGAAAATTTCGCAGAGACATGAGCATACCGCTGTCATGGAGAAGTTTTGTTTGAACTGTTTGCCTTGAAGAGCGTGCCAACTTGCAGAACTTAGCCACGCGTTTTTGTCGCTTGGTGGACTTCTACACTCTGCACGTGGCAATACATAGTTCTTGCCAGGCAGGTACTGGAGAATGTTGCATATTGTGGTGGAGTTCGGAAACATAGGAGTACCCTTTTTGGGGTCCCTTTAAGGGGACTCTTTTCTATTTGGGGTATGAAAAGGGGTACCCCTATAATGCCCATTGAGTTCTTCATGACGCCAGGGCTGTCATGACAGCAAGATGTGGCATGCTACACAGTAGTTACATCCTGAAACCTGACCATACCCCTCAGTCCCTAGTGCACCTCTCACTTCAGACGCTGGCTGTAGCTTCAGCAGCACGAAGCTTCAATCGGACTTGGCCTTTTAGGGGAATCGTGCCTTGTGTCCACAGCTGCTGGCTCAGACGTCGTGCACTTGGCACAGTGGGAAAGTGGCAGTCCCAGCACTCCCGCGTATGCAGCTTCGCTGCAAGGAGGCCCTACTTTGAAGCACCTTAAACGGCTTAGGGTTTATTTAGGGTGTAGGGCTTACACCCCTGACATTTCCTAAACGCATGCGTTTTCAAGACTGAGGTGCTCAGGATATAGGATGCTAGGCTTCTTGAACAGATTGGACCTCAACGAAACCTAGTCAGACATCAGATGAGTTGAGGGTATGGGTTCTACTAGCCCTATACCCTTTCCCTTTGTCTTGGGCAGCTGCCGTTGCCCACCGACATCCCGTGAAGCTAGAACTTAAGCAGCCAAAGCCCAGATTCACTGGTACACGCTCCGCGCACCCTCAAACACCTTGCATCCTCAGCCCTAAGTTTCTCAACGGGTTCAGGGTTTAGGGCTTGGGGTTTGGGGTTTGGGGTTCAGGGTTTAGGGGGTAAACTCCAGAAAGTTGGAGCATGGTTTAAGTAAGGATGAGAGCTGGGATTCCCTTTAGTGTACCTTTTTTGGGGGTATGGGGATTAGGATGTCCCAACTTCTTGGAGTTTACTGTAATCTCAGCTGGAGCAACGGGGCTCATGGGGTCCATATTGGGGTTTGGGCTTGCCAACTTAGGGTTCAGAGTTTGTTGCGCGGGAAGCGAAGTTAGGGTCTGGGGTTTAGGGTTTAGGGTTTCTGGTTCAGGGTTTAGGGTTTAGGGTTCAGGGTTCAGGGTTCGGGGTTTAGATTTTTTGTTTTAATGTTGAGATGCTCTAGGAGCTCTGGGCTCAGGACGCACGTTCCTGAGGTTGACTTCACACCCTTCCAGGCAGGAATGGCAAACGCTTGTTCCGTGGCGGTTTTAATGCTCAATCTCGTTCGGCTGTTTGCATGTCTGCGTGAACAAAAGCTGAAAATGTGGGGTCAGGGTTCGCGAACCAGGCCGCCAGCCTGGGAGTTTAGTAGCATCTCGTACGGTACGATGAGCATGGAGATGGATTGGCTTACGAATCAAATTGCATCACTGCCGATGTCTACACGTTCGTCATACAAATAGGCCTTCAAGCTGCCTGAGATGACAGTTTCTCTTTGTGCAATTCTAGGATGCCCAGTAGTACCCTTATCCCTTTTTGGTAGGTTTAGGTTCCCTTATAAATCCCTTTAAACAAAGAAGGGCACCCTTTTTCATCCTAGGTTACTGGGCAACCTAGAATTAACGCGTCCTTGTTGCCCTCTCAGAGCCATTGGCGTGCGACGTCAGTACTTTGGACAGTCCAGATGCAGTAGATGCTTACCAAAGCGAGCCGGCACGTGTGGCAGCCACTGGGTGATTGTGAGTGCCTTTGCACGCTTGGGCACCTCGATTCCGCATAGTGGCGCCCCCGTTCCCTCACCGAGCAAGACTGAAACCGCACGACGCCTGTGAGACTCCAACTCAAATCCACAACTTTTTCCCGTACAGCCTGACCATAAGGACCCCAAACGGGAACATATTTTAGAGAAGTGCCCTAACCCCTAAACCCTGAGCCCTAAACCCTAAACCCGAAACCCTAAACCCTAAACCCTAAACGGTGCAGGATGTGGAGGTTCCTCCTCCTGGCACGGCCTTCGTGCCCAACGAGGCCTCTGAGCTGCATGGGCTTGGAGCTTACAAGCTGTTTATTCGGGGAGGAACCCTAAACCCTAAACCCTAAACCCTAAACCCTAAACCCTAAACCCTTTTTTGGCTTTCCAAGGTCAGCAGTTTCGGGTTTGAGGGATTTGGGGGTTATTTCGTGGATTGTCAGCCCTTGCTCCCACGGCCCCCTGACAGGCTCAGCGTGCTGTTGGAAAGCAGTTGCGGGCGTCTTGGACCGGCAGCAGCTTCTCGAGTACTAGGAAGGGCAGTGAGAAACCGGAGCGTAAGAATTCTCAAGCTGATATTACACAGTTTATGCTGTAAAATACAAACGCGATATGTATCTATCTATATATATATACACATGTAATACACCGAATGACTTTTAAATAGAGTTTGGCATATGGTCAGCGTTTTGGTTACTCTTACGAAAGGCAAGATACTTGAAAGATAGGGCTTCAGAGTTTGTGGTACTTTTGTGTGTACTTGTAACCCTAAACCCTAAACCCTAAATATAGGGCCTCGATCTGGCTAGGATTTAAAGATTGGGTATTTGGTCTTAGCTCGGAATTCCCGGCTTTGGACCCTTGTTGCTGGTGCTCTTGAAGACTGGGCTTCGGGGACGCAGGGATCACTACTGATTGCTTAAGAGCCCCCCAAAAAATAGAATTTTCTTCCTTACCAAGGTAGTATAGGGATTATGATTTTTTCCTCTTTTAACTTGGGGTTCTTAAGCAAGTAGATCATGAAGTATCCAATGGCAGAG